CAAGTACAGGTTTATTCTCTGCTGAAAAGAGAGGAAAGGAAACACCCGAAGATGGCTCCACAGCTGAAACGTTGTGTTTCTTTTCTTGAGGTTAATAGATACCTTCATCATGGCAGACCAAGAATATCTGATTTAGGGTGCATTCCGAACTGGTGGTTGACCCGAGTTTGTGGTCTGTATAAAATAAAAACTTCATCCCAGTGCATGAAAATTCCCCCAGCGTGGGAGGAATGTATAGTATTCTATCACGGCGTGGGGGTGCTCTGATTCTTCAAAGATGTGAAGCCTTCACATGACAAAGGGAATTTAAACAAGAAAGGAACACACTCAAATGATTTAAATGATCGCCAGTTACTGTAGACTCTTTGGTGTTGCAGTTCACAACAGCCCACTGAAGACTGGGAATGGCCAGGGCAGAGTCAGAGACAGAACATGGTTTCCAGTTTAAGTTGTTTGTCTTGTGCTCTGCTCTGATTAGTAAGTCAATAAAGGGAGCTTTTGTGTGTAGGTCACTGCAAGAGATTCAAGATTCAGTGAATGAAGATTCAAGTTCAAGTTCAAGTTCAAGTTTATTGTCATTATACTCATATACAGGTATATGGTATAACGAAATGCTATTTAGATAGCTTTCGGATATAAGTAGTAGAAAGAAAAAAACAACAATACAATTGTATAACAAAAGAAAAACAGAGACAACAGGGAATGTGCAAAAACAACAACAGGCAATGTGCAAAAACAACATCAGATGTGCAAAAACATGCATCAACAGAATGAAATAAAGGGATAGAAATTATGGGGAATGAGCTTTTGACATGTAAGGTAGAGGTACTGTAGATATACAATGTGTGTTTGAGTTGTTGGTAAGAAAGGAAGAAGGCACTGTGAGGTTCAGATATATAGGTGAGAGGTGAGGTGAGAGTGAGAGAGGCTGGGAGTTTAATAGTTTGATAGTGTGGGGTACAAAAAGATACAAAATATACAAAGAAATACAGATAACTGAAGGGACAGGGATCATAGGTTTTAAGGAAAATAGAAAGAACACATCAAGCTTCGCAGGCTTTACTTAGTAGACATAGAAGAAATTTGTATTTTTACAGCATTGCATCTGACAAAGTAATGCTGCTGATTTGGTCTGTGAAGACTCTTTTTTTTTCTTATGTTGTAAAAACGATTAAATATATATATATAATTGTTCATTTTAACGCTATAATATGTTTAGTGATAAATTTATACTGTATTTCTTAACCGTCCCGTGATGTGTGTCTGGAAACCGTCTGCCTTGAAACTAAGCCTTGTACTGCCACCTAACGGCAAAACTCATGATAACGCTGAGAAACCATCAAGTGCAAAAAAATAAGTTGTTTAATCATAAAGTCCAAAAATGATACCTCCAAATGAGCCTGCAACGGAAAGGAAGTTTCCTGAGTTGCTCACCATATGTTTTAATTGCTGACAATTGTCTCGTGGATAGACATTCTATGGTCATTTCAGTTCCAGGGAAAAAAAAAGTCTTCTTATTTTGCAAATCATTGAGGCAAGGTTGTAATGACTATATTGAAGTGTGTGCTGTACAGGTGGAGCCGTCAGAGCTGTGGTCAGTGCATCTCAGGCTTGCTCGAAGGAGGACACAGCAAGAGAGGGTCTAAAAACAATATGTAAAAAAATAAAGAGAATAAGAACCTCTAATTAAAACACGACGTTGTTTGATCGAGGTTTCCTCCCGTGTCCCCGGGGAACTATGTCGCTTGTGATACACAAGTTGCTGCAACAGATCGAGAAAAGCGAGTCAAGGTGCGAAGCTTTCTGTTAAAACGCGCACTGTTAAAACGTCCAAGACGTCGAAGCGCAAAAAGGGGATATAGTCCAAAAACTATTGCCCCGTAAAACACCTTGTATCCATCTGTCACATGATTCTTATGGCAGTGGTAACGCCGAAATGTGACTGCACTATATTAACAGCTCAGTGGTAATGAGCCAGTGACAGAAGGTAACAGCACAGTGATGAAATAACCTCCCGCGACAGCAGAGCCAATCTTCCGTCTGCAATTTGCAGGAGTGACTGTGATGTGACGAAATCCTGGTCCAGTATCCCAAGGAGGTGCTGAATTGGCTAAAACCAAACTTCACCCGTCATACAACTGTACAGGTACATGTTTTCAATACTGTACGTGTCTGTGGCTCCCCCAGTCCTGAGATGAAGAAAACGTTCATAAAAAGTTGTGTTATTTTGTAGCTGTGTGCTTGGGGGATAATGGTCACCACAAAAGCACATAACATCAGAAAGTTATGAACGAGAAATGGCTGTTGACCCACCTGTACATAATAGTTAATTGATCCAAAGGTCTCATCCAGCCATTTCTTGAAATGTATTGATTCATCCCAAATGAATACAAAAAACAACAAAAACAATTAAAGCACTGTACAAGTAAACAGGTATACTGTATTGAAATATTTCTCACAGGTATATACTGTATATGTGGCATGTATGACTGATACAGGCCTGTGGTGTACAATCATTGCATTTATTCAGAGAATTGGACTAGTAGAACAATCTAAAAAAATGACTATTATATTTACCAAACACAGGTTATTCTGTTTAATGAGCTTGACAATGGAAACAGTTTGGGACTTCCGGATGAGCTGGAAATTCGCTGATGACTAGAGCAGCAACTAATCCATTCCGCAAGCTCTGAATCATTCATTCATTCATTCATTCATTCATTCATTCTCTCATAGTTTCACTGCACTATCCCGCTCTCTGTCTTGGAGGTGAGGTTGCCGATCCTGTAAAGTCTTCGTTCCCAAAGAGGAGTGAAGACAAATGTGACAGGACAGCAGCGTGCAGCTCATGAATTTGAAAGCTGCTCAGCTGTTCAAAGTTAAATTCGGGGCAGATATATTCATCTTTCCGTCCATCCTCTGCATGCTTTTGACCCAGATGGTCAGGATGCTGTGGTGAACCCGATGCCATCGGGTCTCTCCTGGACCCGCTGGTACAGTAGGCAGGTTTCCGGGTGTCCATCTTCCAACGCTGAGCCCAACATAGTGAGAGCGTCTGGCTTAAATAAGGAGGGGCAGGACTGGAGGCAGGTGCACATAATCAACTAAAATGTGAAAGAGCCGGAGTGCCCTTAAGAGGAGGGATTACGATCGTGACACTAGGCTTCTACAGATGTGTTCGGTTTACAACTTGAGGACAGTTGTGCTGTTATTTAAAGAGGAGAGAGGCCCAGTTACAGTAGGGCAGTGACATTCACTCCTTGGGGAAGGTGAAGTGAGTCTAAATACATTGTTCAGTTTGTTTTTGGAAGTTAAAATCCCTCGCACAAGAGAGTGTGACATCTAAAATGTAGATTATTCATGAACTGCATTTTTGATAACGAGATATCTTAAAAAATATTTGAAAAACCTACATGAAAAATCTTTTTTTCACCTCACACATCATCTGTATTCACTTATTTAAAACATTTATTTTAGATATGGCATCGTGTTTGAATTTTGAACACTAAATATTTGTAGGTATCAGTGAACATACTGTGGATCAGAATCTTCTTAGTATGGACTGCAATATAATCTATAAATTAAGTTGGCGATTGCACTTACAGAAGACTATGTGTACTGCAGCACGACACTCCTACACTTGCGGGCTCGTTAAAACAGTGCTGTAAATTACTGCCTCGTAGGTCAGGTTTGATTATCTGCCAGAAGTGAAGGACTATGGGATATGGTGCAATGCCATGATATACCGTAGAAACAAGTCTGACTTTGTACTGTTGAAAGTAAGAAAAGAGGTACTGTTGTTGCTAATAGCTCATATATAGATATGTGCAGTATTTCGCAGTGATGGCAAATGTTGTCTACAATTATGCCTATAAAATATCTAATATCTGGTTCATATAAAATATTTTCATCAAATCCAGAAGTGGAGAAATGAAAACTGGAAACCACTATGTGTCGGGAACTAACTACACCGCTCACGTAAGATGAAGCTCGTCACTCCTATGGTAAAACTTTATCATTCAAATGTAAAAATGAATAGCCTATAGATAACATGTTTAGAATATCACGATTTTGTGTATTAAGCAATGTTCTTGGAGTTTACAACACTTTTACAGAGCAGAAAACGCTTTCATACTGATCCGTCTCAATTTAAATTGTAGATCCTGTTCAGTTTAAAAGCTCTGCTCATCTGCCAACTGCAAATGCCAAATGTACCAGTCAGTTCGCTCAGTCAGAGACATTTTAACAAGGAAGAAATAGAAAGCATTTACTACTGGTTTGAAGTTCGCTGTCACTGGGAGAGTCCAAATTCAGTCTGGCTCTCTACTGTATTTGCGCATAAACGGGCTTGGACATTCTGAAGGCTGATTCATCAAAACCCTGACGAGGCAGTGCTGGAAAATACCAAATTTTTTCAACAGAATCATAAAATTAGATTTAGACGCACAAAAGGAAAACTGTCTAATTTTAGAACCGAGCCTTCCACAACAGAATGCAGAAATGACTCAGGTGTTGCAAATTCAATTGTGACTGAGCATGTCGCAGATGGACGAGTGCGAATATTCCCGCTGCAGTGTAACTGCGCTGCCTCTGCTGTTTAAGATTACTCCTGAAATTATTGCCTGGGTTCACTTCAGCTGCATTGCAGTCACAGCAGTGCTGCAGGAAGACATCGGGGGGGGGATGTCAAACTGCAATGCAGCAGCGTCTAAAGACTTTCTTTTTTGCCAGCCCACTTCTTTTATCAAGCGCAGGTGCTCATTATCACGACTCTGACATACAGTATTTATTTCTCAGGCTTTAAGCAGTTCCCCTACCACACACTGCAGCTCTCTTGGAGTTTGTATGAAGATAATAAAGAGGCTTTTCATTTCCCTCACATTCTCTGCCAAGAGCAAAAAATAATATGTATTCTGATATACAATATGTGGTGTGAGCTTTCATCACCGATTAGAAGCTCTCTTAATGCAACACATAATAAATGAACTCACAAACGTCAATTTTAATCAGTAATGCCGTTGTTTTTTTATTTACCAGGTTACTGCGACTTACAGACACATCAGTTTTATAGTAGGCGCACATTTCATATATTTTTACAGATTTAAAGCCCCGATCAGATTGTTGAAAAACTTTCATCTTTTTTTCCCCTAAAGGTAATGCTTATTGGCTTATGTTTTCTTTCTTATGGGCTTCCATTGCTGAAGAACATGTGCAAATCAGCAAGAAAGATAGGAAAGACATAACAGATGCATACTTTTAAAAAGTAGGGTGTAACCCATGTCCTAATTTTCATACTAATGCAGGTATTCCTGTTGACATTTTGCTTATACTGTGTTTCTACATAAACATAATTTATGTCACAGAGTTTAATTTAGGACATTTTGCATAATGGTTTTAATTGATTTCTCATCATATTAAGGAACATGTATTATTTTTTATTTATGTATTATCATTTTGTTTAACAGAAGCTCATAATGCACAGATCCAAATATCAGAGAAGATAAAAGAAAAAGAAAACTTCTACTGCCCAAAACGAAATGATTTTGAAGAGCAAAATATGTAATGCTACTGGCTTACTGATAAATACAATAGGACCAAGGGTGCCGGCCAATATCCTGTTGGCAGGATTGAAACACACTTACAATATAGTATTTATGCAATTTAGATTTGAATGTTCTGGTTTTAAAGCTATAATATGTATTAGAATGTTTTAGAATGACTTAGATAAATTTAATTTACCAACAAATAATTCAATTCGTCATAATCTGAATAGATAGCACTACCAAAAGGATATTGCGCACTGACTTGGCTCAGATTCCTGGTACATTCGGTGCTTCTTTTCGGGTTCTTCCTGTTGTCCAGATTTGCCTGTACCTTCAGCGTGTTACATTTAGGTTGAGAGTGTGTGGAGAAGAAGGGGGAGTCTGCAACAGACCTCTTGTTTGAAACAAGGGCACGGCTGGCTTCTGTATGGCCACGCTGGGCTGGTGTCTTCTTTAGGTGAGAGCGGGCAAAGAAGAAAAACTCAGCCTGATCTCTTCCCCTTCCAGGAGTTTTCTAAGAAAAAAGAATGAAAACATCGGGTTTTAGTAGACCTTGATTAATAACCAACTGCACTGGGCTCCTCCTCATGAATTTGTTTCAAATGCACCAGGCTGTCTCGTGACCTTACCCACTGCATGCCCTGGAGTATTAAAGATAGTTCCTAAAAAGGTATCAACTGATTATCCGCTGTGATATTCCATAGAAAACAGAAAACCGGATTCACAAAGACATGTCACAGAGTGGACATTATGTTACAGTATATGCTTGAGTTTAGCCATGACCAGGGGCTCTTCTTTTCACAAAGGGTTGTGGGAGTAGGAATCAAACGACCACCCATGTTGCTGAAGCTGATGTCTTCTTTCAAAAAATGTCTGCATGAAATCCTTAGATCAATAAACTACTTGCTACCAAATGGGCCAGATAGTCTGAAAGGTCTCCTCTCATTTGTTACCTTTCTTATATTCTTAAGTCTTGTTAAGAATATTGTTCTTACAGGGTTGTAGTAGACCTGCAGTCTCTTGAGCCTTAGTGGCTACTGAGAATGCTTACAATACAGCTTCTCATGATGCAAATTTATTGGCTCTTACTGTCTCCAGGGACTCTGACTTCTCTGTGCATGACTAACATTGCTTGGATCAGCACGATGCCAGCTCACGGAATACAGATTGCAGTGATCTGATAGACTGGATTTGCTCTCCACATTCAGGATGGCAGGGGCAAAGATAATGGAATATGCTGTAGTGTACTGGCACAGGCATGTCTTGAGAAAATACCAATAGATTCCATCACCAAATGAACCATTTAAAGCAATGAATAATAAATAACTGTAATAATAAGCCACTAAAACCAGATCCTATTGTTATATTTACTGGGTCTACAAGCAGAGGTTTAGCTTTCTGTAATTACAGTATGCAGCTAAATTCATTTATGCATTTTACAGTGCATGGCAAACAACTGTAGGGCTGTCTGTAGCAGCTTAAAAAACAGAAATACAAGACTCTCTCCAGTGAACATACTTGTGTTGCATAAGCAACTCAGAGGCCCAGATGTATCTACAGTATCTCTTGAGTGCCAGCTAACATCTCAAACTAACAGACTAAATAACAGCTGTTTCTGAATGACTACTTACAGGTACTGTATGTAAAGTAACTAGTATAAATGGGACAATTCCAGCCTATTTTAGAAGAAAATGCAAATGCTGGCTCAGGAAGAATAACAGAAATATGCTTTATGTTTTTAAAGCAAGTTAAATTCACTAAAAACACTCAAGAAAAATTGGTTATACTACACTAATAATAGCTACAAAATAAAAAAATATCACGTGTATTACAGTATGTGATTAAAAATGACTTCAGATATTAAGTACATTAGTGAGCATCAGAAATAAACAGCCCAGATCAGTTAATCAGTTTCATGTTCCTCATCTTATGTCATCAGTGCTGACTCATCCTGGGACAAAAGCATAATGCATTATTCACGTGCATGCAATGAATGTAATACTCTGCATTATTCAGGTGATTAGTGTGATATGGTGTCTCTGTATGTGTCTGAAGCGATGCATTCTCAAACATTAGCACATGCAAATGAAAAAACTAAAATTGAATGTTCCTGTGTTGACCTATCTGATAACACAGGTCCATATATAACAATAGTCCACCCTTCTCAGACTTGGTGGTACTTAGTTAACATCTTTGAATCGTGCGGGTAAACATATGACATCATGTGTTGTGAGAAAGGTAGGCATAATGTCTTGTGCTGAGGAAAAAGAAAATAGGTAAATAGAAGTAAAATAGGATTTTCTAAAGTGTTATACATGTGAGGACCAAAGCTCATATTCTTTTCAAAATCAAATTAGTAATGGACTTTAATAATAATTAGATTCAAGGCATAATTACTAAGCCATCTAGAATACTCTTCGACTCTGAAGTGATGTGTACAGTATTTACAGTATGACTAGCCAACAGCATAGAACACACAGCAGCAGATACCTGTATGCAGCTATTTCAATGTCAAGAGCCATCTTGACATTCAGGAGATCTTGATATTCTCTCAGGTAACGGGCCATCTCCTGCTTGGCATCGTTAATTTCCTTCTCTAATTCATTTATTCTGTCCTAAAAATAAACAAAAGAGTATCACATTAAATTGCAGTTTGCACTGGGATAAAACATCTAAAATCATGCAATTATGGAAACGTAGAGTACAATCTCTCATTTTCTCCCCCTAGTCAATGACAATCTTCAGGTACATCTGAGAAATATTTTAACATGGTTATAATAATAACACAGCTGTCCCTGGGCAACACTTCATCAATCAACATTCTGTAACAGGTGAAATGTCACTTTTAAAGTAAAGTAGCAATGCAGATTAATCGGCTAAGTGGATCTCAGAACTGAAAGATTTTGACATATACTTTATTTTGTATTCTGAACTCAAAATCAATGTTAAAATAATAAGCATGTCCTTATGCAGCTCTTTATTTCAAACCAATTATCACATTAGCAGGCTGTCGAGTGAGAAAGATGTAATTTCTCACTGTGTATAAATCTGCAGACATTCTTATTTTCCAGTTCAAAGAATTACCCATATTATGTACTTTGTGGTTTCTGGTTTGCTTTATTTCTTGCCTAACAGCATCTGTCTCCTTTCACCCGTCTCTCTGCATTTCTATCTCCATTTTCCGTCAAGCACGCGGAGCACAGCAGAAGCTCAGATTAACCCTTTACCTGGTACTTGGCAACTTCCCTGGACTGCTTCTCCTCCAGGCTTTCCAGCTGCTTGTTCAAGGAGTCAATGACGTTCCTCAGGGCTTCAATCTCGGAGGACCGGGACTGGAGCAGCCTCCTGTACTCGGATGTCTCTTCTCGGATGGATCGCACGGCCTCGTTGTTTTTGCTGGCCATTTCGGCAACAGTGGCAAACTTGGTCCTGTACCAGTCTTCGGCCGCCTGCATGTTCTTGTTGGCCAGCTTTTCATACTGCGACCGAATCTCTTTGAGAGCCAGGGAAAGATCAGGCTTGGTGACTTCCATGTCTATGGTGATGCTGGCGGCTTGGATTTGGGCAGAGAGCTCGTTGTTCTCCTCGGAGAAGACCTTCTTGAGGAAGGTAATCTCCTCCAGCAGGGAGGTGATGCTGCCATCGATGTCGCTGTTGGCCAGCACCGCCTTGTCGGCGTCCTCTCGGATCTTCTGCAGGGCATCTTCTGCATCCATCCTGAGGCGGACCTCCTCCTCATACTTGTCCTTCATCTGGGCGTAGACGTCCCGCAGATGGTCCCTCTCGGCCTCCATCCGCATCTTCTCATTGGCCTCCGAGTCCAACAGGGCCCTCAGGCTGCGAACTTCCTGCTCGTAGATGAGGTGGAGGCGGGAGGGGTCGCTCTGCTTCTGCCGGAGGGCTTCCAGCTCCACCAGCAGGACTTTGTTCTGCTGCTCCAGGTGGTGGACCTTCTCGATGTAGGTAGCGAAGCGGTCGTTGAGGTCCACCAGCTGCTCCTTCTCCTTGCCTCGCAGGCTGAGCAGCTCGGTGTTCAGAGTGCTCACCTGGCTCAGGTCCACCTTCTCCATATAGTCAGGCAGGGAGGAGGTGGGACGGGTGGACCTCTTGACGGAGGGCACCGAGCGGTGCATGGAGTACACAGAGGATGAGACGGACTTGGTGGAACGCACTCCCCTGAAGTCCTCCCAGGGCCTGCGGGGGCTGTAGGGGTCGTAGCTCATGTTTTCAGCTTTTTGAAATGTTGCTTTTTCTTTAGTCCCCCTTGTTCTGCACACCCTTGCTGCTCAAGCCCTTTGCACTGCACCAGTTCAGAAATGCTGCAGAGCTCTGCCTTTTATACTGCAGCCTGCTCCTGTCCTCCAGGGAGATGCAGCAGTCAGGAGTTGATTGCACAGCCAGCCAATGAGAAAATGCTGCAGAGGGGAGGAGAGATTCGTTCACTGTTTCTCAGTTTAACCTGCTCAGCAGAGTGGAGGAGGTGAGACGGTTTACCCGTTTGTGACAAGCAGCAGCACGTCAGTGCCAACACTTGTCAATCTGGTTTACTGAGCTCTTAGTTTTTGAATTGGTAATGCAAAACCTGGGTGCACATTATTATTTTTTAGCCAAAGAACCATATTTTTAATGCAGGAAGATCAAATCCTTCCTAATGTAAATGAAATGACATACTGATTTTTATCCAGTTTTTATCCAGTTAATATGTTTATTTCTGTTATCTGTTGATGCTGATTTCTAGCAATTGTATATGTTATGCTGATTTAAATTTACCACAATCTTCACCCTAGATAAATGCTTGAGTGCTGAGATTTGCTTTGAGTTAACCCTCACATTATGCTCATTAATACACACGTAGAGCAAGTTGTGTTCAAAAGGAGACAGTACAAGAAATAGCAGTAATATGCTTAATACAGGCTTGTGTCCTGCCTGTTTACATATTTTTGCACTGGAAAAAAAATGTCATTACATTTAACACAAGCATTGATCCCCTTTTTGGACTCGCACTATGTTTTGAGCCTTGATTTACATGTGTGTGCAGTGAGTATCCAATTGTAGCTGCAATACTTCACCTGTTTTATCAATCAAGCACTGATTTTTACTGAAGAATGTAATGGTAACACATTAAACATTCAATGGTTGATTTTGTAATGACTGTTTGATACATGATTCTGTCTGAAACAACATAATTTACCTCAAAACAATGAACACATATCTCTACAGGTTGTACAAATCTTTAATATAAGATTTATCTATTTATATCTATTTATTATTTCAGGATATACATTTTGCAGTCTGAAAATTTTGGAATATTTGAGATTATAATATGATTTATAATCTTTTTAGTGGTTTACACAAAGTAACAATATTTTCAATTAATCCATGTGTGATATATCATAATATAGCAGCAAAATGTATGTTTTTATCACCAGATTGTTTTTTGTCATATCCCAGCATTCCTAAATCAGAGCAGAGCACTGTTACAACTTTTATTAAAAATGAATTAACATTAAGAAAATATTGAAACTATCATAAACATCATTCAGGTGTATGATTATCATCTGAACTTGTTAAAAAGTCTGCTGTTTTATGGAGTTTTACTTCTTGAGCTGAAAATGTCAAATTGCAGTGCTGGCTAGAATGAGAGTTAGGGTTCTGGTTTTTGGCTCTTCATCAGCAATCTTTTTCTAACTCTTTACCCCTGCTAAAAAATACAAATATTGTTTTATATGCCTATGCTTGTCTTTTGCACATGAATCAAGCCAGATATCATTTTCATCCTTGTCAGCTTTGTCGACATTTGCTTTACACCGTCTTTCTGTCTGACCTGACACTCGTACAGAACTCAAGCACAAAACAGTCTGAGTCAGGTTTGCGGAGAAGAAAGTCATACTGCACATAACCACAGAAGGCCTTCACAGATTCTTTACATCCAAGCTGCTCTAAATCTAGACTGAAATTCTATTTCCTCTAAGGTGAAAACTGGGTTGTTGAAAACTGGCACAGGATACCACTGAGCTTGAACTATAATTTTGTCAACACAGGTATTAGAACCATTCAGGAACTAGAAGGAAGTCTCTTTGGCCTGGTAAGGGCAGCAGCATCCCAGAACCTTTCCTGGACATTATCCCAAGTAGAACACAACATGAGACAGCAGTCCACTGCAGGGCATGTACAGTAAATACGCACAAGCACACAGAGACAATTGAATGACTCCAATTAACCTAGCCAGCACAGGAAACTGAAACAGCAGACAAAAACCCTCACAGACATAGACAATCACACAAAGTCGAAATAGAAGGTGCCCCAGTCCCAAACTGAGCCCAGAAACCAAAAGCTGGAAGGCAACGTTACTGATTTACACTGTCACACTTAAACTGCTGTTTTATAAATTAAAATATAATGTGCATACAGTTAATCTGTAAGCGATATGAGTAAAATTACTATGCACAGATACTTCATACCATGGAGCAGATACCACGAATTGACCACCATCTACAAAAGAATGAACTAACTGAAGCTCCCAAGCAAATCCATTTATATTAATTAAACAAATTATATTGTAAAGTTCAACTGTTGCCTTTTAAGAATTAACAAATAAAAATATCTATATGAGATTATGAGATGACCCATTTAGCTTTTTTGGTTACTAGTACTTAATCAATTCTACAGACTAGCCATTAAACATGTTTGTCCAATCCCAGGTTTGGGCAGCAAACCTACATGTGCTAATTTGCTTTAAAAAAAATGTTGTAAATGTTTCCTATTTCTACATCTAAGTTCTAAGAACATTCCAAAAATAAAACATCCCATTTTATTACCTATTTTCTTTCTCCATTTAAATATATATAATCTCATTTCAATTGCTTTCGAAATGCCAAAACAAGCATGACTGCTAATGTATTAGCTGTTGTTATGCAATTGATTGACTTGAGTAGGGATATCACTGGCAGTCCTTGTTAAGGATAAAGGTCATTAACTGAAAAGGACAAATAATGTGATATTCAGTTTATGTTGAATTGAATAAAAAGCACTTTCTGGAAAAAAAATAGAAAAGTAGTAAGCTAATGAATTGGTAAAATTGTTTTTATGAAGACAGGTCCAATTTTTTACAGGGGAATTACGTTTGAATTAAAAGGGAACTTTGGGACTAAAAAATAATGTAAACCCTAATCTCTAAATGTATTAATAGGTAATAGTGTAGGTAATAGTAGTATTAAAACAGTAGTTGTAAGATGTCAACAAAAGAAACAAGAAACAGGCTTACCTTTGTTTGGCTGCTCAGTCAGAATGAGAAATGCTGAATATCTGGAATTGATGAAAATGGGGTAATATTTCCTTATGGTAAAATACAATTCAGGCTTCCCTGTTCTGGAAATAAATATTGATTTTCCTGCAAAATTGTACTGTCTTATTTTGTATACTACTATTACTACTAATAGCAGCTTCTGGTTTGTATCGCACCGGTTATATATACAGTAGCACGGGTGTGTACAGTATATATTATCAGGTGGAATACAGACAGTTGAATTAACTGGGAAGCCCAAAGTGGAATTTTGCCATAAATGCGATTAAAAGCCTTACTCTTAGAAAGATGGCCCAGCACTGTGATCTGTTATAATACTGGTTGAGTCATCACCCTTTTTCACACTGCGAGTCTTAAGGCACTCAGAGGGCCGTTAGATCAGTTGCAGTAGTAGTGCAGGCTTCACAAACAACTCCATGAGTTTCTAAGTGTCCCGTTGCAGGAAACTGGTGCTAACCCTGGAGAACTCATTGTTTAATTGTATTTCAATCCTCTATTTAACCTAATTAGCTCACTGAGAAAAGGTTTCGGCCATCGCCTGGAAGTAACTCATCTTTACAGCAGGGCCTTGACTGGAGCAATCCGAGTGATGTACTGTAGATTGCTCCAATGTGCACAAGTGCTCAGTGTACCAACCAGGATTGATTCTAACAGCCCGGCTGTCCCACCCACCACTCCACACTGCTAACTCGCCGCTTAGCCAGAGGTGCTCCACTGCTTGGGAGATCACAGTAACCACAGTCAGCAAATTATGGAGCACAGGCTCATTTCCAGGCTCTTAATTACTGCTAATTGTGACACTTAGGAGTCTTGCATGTTTAGGTTTCAGACAAATATTTTTTGCAACTTTTGCAGCTATTTCCTTCTAACCTGAGGACAACCAGGTTGGCGCCTAACATGAGCCACGTATTGAGATTGTTACAGTGACATCCCATCGCATGCTTGCCTTGCCCAGAGTGAATTATCCCAGGCTGACTCAGAGGCCTCATGGTACAGTTTCTCTGTACTAGTACTTGGGACCCCGTATTCCCTCCTGTCTTTGATACAGTTGAACTGTGGCTTGCTTCATTTTATCAAAACATTGTTGGAAGAATTTTGTAACTTTAATCATGTTTGTTATATTTTTGCACAGAATCCTACCTTAAAAAAAGCCTGGCTTTCATAGGTAATAAGTATACACGCACACACATCCGAAAAATCGTCATCTTCATTAAGTGCTCATTTAATTTACTGTTTGATTTTGCCTATACCTGTCTTCTTCGTTTCATTGTTTCAATATGCAGGGCCGTGAAATGAAGAACCAAGAAATGTTCTATATAAAATAAAAGTTACTGTTATCCAATCAGTCAGTTGAAAGCTTAAAGAATTATGAAGTGCAACTAAAACCAGAAGACACAGGGGTTGAGATACTCTGCCTTCTGGGTTAATTGGTGTCTGTAAGCAGGGATGCCCTGCATCATTATGACAGGAGTGGAGCAGAATGTCTCATGTTCTCCCACCTAAGGTGCTGGGTGCCAACAGTCACGATATTGACAAATGAAGAGCAGAAGAGCAGAGGGCACTTGTTTTTCACTGATTGATCTCTCCTTTCCATTCCGCTGATAATCAGGAATGTGCTGCAAGGCAGCATAATTTGTCTGCAGGATTGCGAAACAAGACACATTCACCTCGAATTCCTGACATCAGCACGATTTTAAACCAGTTTCTGTTTTTTTCTTACAGTAATGATGCAAAATGCACAAGTGGGGTTTAATTGGATGCTGTAAAGTAAAATGAAAAAAAGGAGATCAACCTCTGCTCGTATTCCACTTACAGAAAAAGAGGATTCATCATTTTTGAAATTCTGAAATATACGTATTAAGTCAACCTTAGCTTCTTTTCCACTGCCAGACAAACTTGGTGTTCCCCTGCTGTACCACAAAGCAAATCCCACTAGCTATTGTTGTGTGGAAATACAGCATTCTATTATAATCTAACTATAGGGATCAAGGTTTCCCCACCGGAGGCTTCCACTTCCATGAGT